TGGAGAATGACTCTAATGAAGTCTCTGAGGCTTCTGCAGATTAATCTCCACCACTGTAAAGCAGCATCCGCTGCCCTGATACTCCGCTTAGTCGCGAGCGGAGGGGACATAGTCCTAATCCAAGAGCCCTGGGTGGTAGGAGGCAGGGTCTGTGGATTAGCGACGAAGGACTACAAGCTGATTGTAGCCCAAACTTAAGGTAAAATTAGAACCTGCATATTAGCAAGAAAGCACTTAAATATCTTTCTGCTCCATAATTTTAGCAATGGCGACAACACGGCGGCTAGCCTAGAGCTACAAGGGACACGCCTGAACCTGGTGTCGTCCTACATGGCTCATGAAGAAAGCGATCCTCCCAGTGACCTCGTTCGCAAGATTGCCAGCGACAGCGAGAGGTCGAATACAAGCCTACTAATAGGCTGCGATGCCAACGCTCATCACACCCAATGGGGGAGCTCGGATACAAATGTAAGGGGTGAGTCACTTTTCAGCTTCATCCTAAACTCCAACCTAATTATTGGTAATCGGGGTAATGACCCCACTTTTATCATAAAAAACCGTCAAGAGGTTATTGACCTCACTCTATTGTCTCACAAACTGTCAGACATAATGAAAAGTTGGAGAGTCCTAGAGGACCACTCCTTCTCCGACCACAGGTACATCGAGACAATCCTATCGCTCGAAAGCACCATACCCACTAGCTATATAAACCCAAGAAAAGCCAACTGGGATACGTATAGTGCAAAAATGGAGGAACTACTCCCCCCCCTAGCCCTAAAATGCCCGGACACACAAGACGATCTTAATCGTCTTGTGGACAATTTCACGGAAGCTTGCAACAAGGCCTTCATGGCAGCTTGCCCCTCAACCAAACCAAGAGGGAAAATGAAACCCCCCTGGTGGTCTAAACATATAGAGGACCACTCCTTCTCCGACCACAGGTACATCGAGACAATCCTATCGCTCGAAAGCACCATACCCACTAGCTATATAAACCCAAGAAAAGCCAACTGGGATACGTATAGTGCAAAAATGGAGGAACTACTCCCCCCCCTAGCCCTAAAATGCCCGGACACACAAGACGATCTTAATCGTCTTGTGGACAATTTCACGGAAGCTTGCAACAAGGCCTTCATGGCAGCTTGCCCCTCAACCAACCCAAGAGGGAAAATGAAACCCCCTGGTGGTCTAAACATATAGATACCCTCCGGAAAGACTGCAGGACTCTCTTTAACACAGCCAAAAGCAGCAGCGAGGTAGCGCACTGGGGAAATTACAAAAGTAAGCTAACCCTATACAAAAAAGAAACAAGGAGAGCAAAAAGGGCCTCTTGGCAAAAATTTTGCCTCCGAAATTGAGGACACGTCAGAAGCCGCAAGGCTACGAAAGATCCTGTCAAAAACATCCATCCAAACATTTGGTGGGATATCTCAAGAGAACTGATGGTACGTGGACAAACTCTAGTGAGGACTCCCTACACATTCTACTCGATACTCATTTTCCTGGGTGTACGACCATCAAGCCGGCAGACACCCCAAGTGAAGGCCCGGAAACCTCGATGGGGCACATCCTCACAAAACGGAATATTAGCTGGGCAGTAAACAGCTTTAAATCCTAGAAATCACCTGGCCCGGACCAATTCATTCCGGCTCAGCTACAAAAAGCCGGGCACATGGCCATCAACTGGCTGCAAAGTATCTTCAGGAAGATACTGACAGTGGGAAAAATCCCCCGCGCTTGGCTAAAGGCTAAAATAGTCTTTATCCCTAAAGCAGGGAAACCCTCACACACAACCCCAAAAGGCTTCAGACCAATAAGTCTATCGTCCTTCCTTCTCAAAACCT